CAAGTTTTTCTGAAGCATTGTTATTGTTGATGCTGTATATCTTGTTTCTGCTATTCTGCATTTCTTTCTGGGATTATTTTCTTATTCTGAATAATTTAGAAATGGACCAGCAAGAAAACTCAGTTGGACTAAGCATTTTCAAGGAGCAAATTAAAATGCAGTTATTCTGAACTGTATATACTGTAGTTTTCATATAAACGTTTGAGTGATAGTGAAAGAAAACTTGCAAGACGTTCAAAGTAGGATTAGATGTTATCGCGTGCTTTTTCTGTCATTTTTTGAGTGAGAAAAGTATTATTCTTGGAGAGAGGGGAGGATTTTTTTGTTGATTTTTGACTCCTCGTGGTCCACTGTTCTCTTTTCCTTATCAGAAGCTGTTCTTCAGTAATTTGTCATGAATGACAATGTAAATACTTTTTGGCAGTGTTTCTATTAAATTCTCTCAATTCTTTGGCTAGGTATACATCTGACAGCAGGATTCTGCCATTTCTTGTTGACCATCTATTTCATATTGTTGGAGACAAAGCCAAAGCAATGTCTTGGAGTGTTGTAGTACATTGTAAATTTTTTATGATGTTTTAAAAGTTAGTTAAATTGGCTGTCAGTTTGTCACCACCTGATGTTTGTTTAATTGATTGACACGAGGGAAATTTCAGCTTGCAAGTTCACAAAACTGAGATGGACTTTCCCTCACCATGTGCATATATTAAATGCTTATTGGTACGTACTGACTGTTGCGCACACATACATACAACAGCCAAAAAGCTGAAGCCAATATTTTGGCAACTTACAAATCCAGTATGTGTTTTCTAAAATGAAAATATATCATCCAGAACAACACTTTCAGAGCAAAGAAACACCACAGTATCAAATAATCACAATGGGGTATTTAATCTAGATCAAGTTAAAATAGCAATATGAAAAATACTGTAATCATATACTGTACCTTTTACTGATACCAGGCTAAAAATATGCCTTTTTTTGGACATGTTCTGCACCCTTCATTTTCAAAACCAGGTGATTGTTCTCTATTAATTCTAAAATATATCCTATTGGTAAAATTCATAAAACTTTTTTCCTACACTCTTGTTAAAAATTATTGTTCTGTTAACTGTTAAGCCATTCTTAGGATGACAATGTGTCATTCCTAAGACTTCCAATGGTGATCTAGCCTCTCTATCCAAGAGTATAGCCATCAGAAGCAAAATGCTTAAATTCTAATTATTCATGGCTCATGTTGTTTTTGACTGAGTAACATAGCTGAAAGAAAGCAGGGAGAAGCTGATTAGTTGGATAAGATATGCTTTCACAGGCTCTTCAATAGTAGCTGTAAAAAGAGAAGCACTTAATTTCTAACCTTTTTCCTGGAAAATGTACAACGCAATGGGAACTCTGAAGCATTCTTACGAAAGCAGATCACTGTCCATCACTAGTGTCAATTTTTTCTGTGTTGGAGGAAGATTGTGAATCATCTTAAATGTATATTATTTTGTTTTCCATCAGTTTAACTTCAATTCTAAAAAAATATAACCAGAACTATTTGAAGCAAATAATGAAACAGAGTATTTATAAGCACAAAGAAGAAAACAAGATTAACGAGAGCCAATATTGATAACAAATCAAATGAATTGCCAAACCAATCTAATTTCATTCAGCAGAATGGTGGCAGACCTTCTGGCTAGGAAAAAATAGCTGTAGTTGACAGACTTCTTGTCTTTTAGTCAGGCTTTTGACATTGTTTTATAAATGTACTGTGCAGACTAAATGAAACAAATACAGAACAAATTGGAGAACTGTTATTGGGTATTATTTAGCCAATGTTAAAACAGTAGGTTATAATAAGTAGGGTTTTATGGTGTGGATTAGAGAAAAAATTTATTATATTTACGGATGGCATGAAGTTAGGCAGGGTAGAAAACACGTTAATGAATAAAACCAGAATAGAGAATGATATATTGAATGAAAGATCAGACGAAAAAATGATGAGATGCAACGAAGACAAAGGAAAAATTATGGCTATCTGATGACAGTCAGATGAACAATTTTGTAATAATCTTACATGTAAAACTCTTGGAACTGTTGTGGCTATGCAGGTGATTGGGAGATAACTTTAAGTGCTGTATTCTTGAACCACCTACTTCAAGAAAAAATGTTGAATTACTGAAGATAAGTAATTACTATAGTGAAGGCAAGTGAGGGTGACTCAGATCTAATAGACAAAAATAAAAGATTTATATAATATTTTAAATTCTAGCGGAGAGAAGAGCAAGAGGTAGCTTGACAGCATTCTTCAAAGACATAAATAGTTATCCAAAGATGAAACAGTAACTCTTTCTTCATTTCCATCATAGATGGAAATAGGAGAAACAGACTTGCAGGCAGAATGATTTTGTTTAGACATTAAGAATACCTTTCTTAAAAGTAAGGATAATGTTGTGGAAAAGGATATCTGAGAGAAAAGTAGAGATTATATTAATGATATTTTTTACCAACTACTTAAAAAATAAATCAAGAACAATATGGAGTTAAGCAGATCCTGGCCAGAAGTGTAGAACAGACTGAATGTCCCATTGTGAAATTCTTCTGAGTTCTATGATACATAAGTATGTTAACATATATTTCCTATTTCTCACCACTTTGATTACTCCTATGTCAGAGTGAATTCCTTCCATTGGGGAACAATGTAGATAATTTCATTTACAGAAGCAGCTCCTGAAGAGCTGGGTTTTTTTGTTTTATTATTAAAGAAGTGACGTTCCCAGAATGTGAAAGGAAATATTGTTTATTAAAATGTCCAAGAAATATTCAAGAATACGAAAATCCAACATCTTAAATGCTTTACTTTGCTTTCATGAAATACATTAATTAGTTTATATTTATAAGGGCATTTATCTGCATTTATAAGTGCAGATTTAGATACATCGGTGTTTTTACGATTTGTGTAACTGTTGTTGAATGGACCACCAATTTCTCAGTTGACAGAAGGCATAGGTTGACATATGGTAACTTCAGAAACTCTCTTACTACAAGCATATGTATTTTTTGGCAGGGCATTAAATTTGAATCTCTTGTCCCAGTAGGAAGATTTTATTTACTGGCATGGGGGGGGGAGAAGTTACTGAACTTGGGTTTCCCCAGGAACAATTCCCTAGGAATTCAACTGAATTTCATCTCAACATCTGTGTGCTTCAGGCAAAAAAAATCTAAGCAATACTTTTCAGAAAAGCTCTACTCCCATTTTTTAGTCTGGACACAATCAATACTGAATTAAAAGGAAAAACATTATGCCGGTATTGATCTTTCTCAAAGCTGCTGTTTCTGATGTTTAAAATGTACAGCAGTACTTGTGTTGAAGCCTCCTTTTGAATCTGTTTTGAAGAAGGTCCATTAGCATGACTATACAATTAAATAAAACAAAAAGGTTACGCGCCATTGATATTGATTTTTATCGTTCTTCTGCTCTGCTTAAAAAAGAAATGCAGGTAGAGTGGTGCAGATTGTCCTGGAACAATATGTAAGTTTCATGGAAGCATCCTGAAGTACTTTTTTTTTTTAAGCAAAATACTGTTGTAATGCTTGGGAGTGTTTTCGATTCTCTCAACTTTGTTCTGCAGTGCCTGAGCCCATATAACAATGTAAATGTCAAGAAGCTGCTATTGTGTACTGTCAGAGTTCTGTTGCAGAAAGCCTGTGTATTGTCATACTTTATTTTTTTTCCATATGAATGGTAGAACTTGGTAGTTTTGTCGGTAAGTGTGACAGGAATAAAACAAGGGAAAACACATATTCCAAAATAGCTTAGAAAATAAAGTACAATTGATATTATTATTAGAATCTATCCTCACATAACTGCAGATAACGGATTTTAAGTAGGTTACATCAACAACTCTTGAAACTCGTTTGAACACAGCTTCCAACTATTTAAGCTTTATTGGGCAGATTGGTGTCATATATAGTTTGCAAAAATTTATAGAGAGACGAAGCTTTCTTATGAAGCCACATAGGCTCAAAGTTCAAGTTCCTACAGGCACTAGGCTTCTGAACATTTGTGGCTTCACCACTACAATTCCTCAGCCAGAAACATATCTCCTCGTGAAGTTACCTATTACAGTCACTAAACAGGAAAAATCTTGCTTTGACTCTACTAATGTTTTCCCATCTACAATTTACTTAGACTCCAAGTATATGTATGTACTAAATGCATGAGAGAATAATTAAATGTAGTTCCATAGGCGAATTACATCCTTCCCAGTTAGGTGTTCAGAGGTCAGAATGAAATATCACACAAGATAGAAATCTAAGGTGAACTGACTTGCCAGATAAATTGCCCTTATTTTTAAAAAGTACCAGTGTCTGCATATTCACAAACAAATCAAAAGTTGTTGCCACACTGGAATTCTTACATTGTACTTTTTTCAGACAGTTGAAGTAAACTTACTGCTCTGCTCTAGCAGAGCACATTGGCATGTGTTTAAGTGTAAGTACACTGTAAAACACCTAGATTCAAGGGACATTGAAAGCTGAGCTTAAATGAGGCATGAAGATTCTCTCAAAGGATGGTTCTTTATGTTTCCTAATATTTTAGAGTGTTCAGTGTTGATCTCTAGTCAATAAAAATTCTTGTTGTTCCATCATATTTAATGCTCTTGAAAATCTGTTTATAAGATTTATATTTATCTTTTTACTAAGTTCTGAAAAAAAAGTATCTCTGATTTAAGTTATTTATTTAAAGAAATACCTCAAATAATTACATATGATAAGCATTTGTCAATGTTTAATTTTCTAAATGAATGAATGAGGAATTCTTCTATTTTATGCTAGCAGTGTTTTGGGAGTTTGAGCAGCATTGGAGATTCACCTTTCATTTCAATGCTCAGCCTTGTACATTATACACTGTGATATAGTGAGGAGTGTTTTGTGTACTCTCTGCCATTTTCCTGCTAAGATGTTCTGTTACTAAAAATTCTGGGTTTTGTTTGTTTGTTTTTTATTTGCTCCAGGCTACATATCCAAACAGAATTGTGAGCCAAAATCTCAGCACAAGGGACAGAAAGTCAGCACATATTCCCACCGAGGACCCTTTTAGATACTCAAACAGCCAAGCAACGGCCTATGAAAGCAAGAGCTGTCAACTGTCTAATTTGTGTCTGAGCAACCTCCTGAAAGAGAAGGAGATAGTGGAAGTCATCAAGCATACTAGAGGAGCCTACGAAGCCCTCACTTCGGAGGCCACCCAGAATGGTTTGGCCACCACGGCACCTAAAACAGCAAAGCCTGCATCTCAGACAGACCGCTACCCACCATTCTCAGGAGCTCCAAAAGACCATACTGCTGTACCTCAGCAGCACACCACTTTCACAGGCAGACTTGGACAGCCTCCAAGGGGACCCATCTCTTTACATATGTACAGCAGGAAAAATGTTTTCCTTCACCACAATTTACACACAACAGAGCTGCAGACTTTAGGTCAACAAGATGGGTAGCAAGGTTCTTGTCTTCTTGCCATAGAGTGTGAGTTCACTGCAAGGAAACATAAGCTCACACAGAGCTGAATAATAAGTTTTTACCTACTGCTACCTTTACTTGAAAAAAATAAATTAAAAATTAATGTTCTCTAGGTTTCATACTTTCCCATCTGGAACTGTAGGAAAAGGGTAAACTAGATTGCTACATAACTAGGTTGGTTTGTCACACAAAAGTCACTATGGTAGAATAAAAGGGACTGTTGGGCTGGCATTGCTGGTCCAAAGTTGGCTGTTTTTTTTTTTTCTTTTGTTTCTAGAAAGCCGCTAACATCCCCTGAAGTTCTAGAAAGTGGTCTTAAATAATAGTGTATGCTTAACAATGTTACTGTTAAAGTAGATGTGAGGAATGAATAGATAAATAATTTGTAAACCCTACTGAATTACATAGAGAGTAAAAAAATAAAGAGTAAGAAGTCTCTGAACCTCTTAAACCTACAGTGAAATTTGCTCATTTGTAGATGTGTGTTACCACTTCTTGCTGTACATGTTTAATCAAGGCCTCATGCCACAATTAGAGGAAGTGACATTTCTTCATCTACAAGAAAGATCACAGAGGCTCACTGGGTAATTGAATCAGAATAATTGGAACAGAAAGTAAGGATGACAACTTGATTTCTCAACCTTCTTTTTCCTCTCCCTACCTTTTTTTAGCTACATTTGTTCTGGTCTTTTTGTTCTGCAAGCACACATCACATTGAGGTGATGGTTGTTCTCTGCAGACGCTATATCGCTCATGACACAATGTCACAGTCTATGTTACCAGGGCTGCTCTGAAAGTAATGCTTCCTGTTTTATTATGTTAGCATGTGGTATCAGAAGTGGATGTTAGTGGTATGATAGAGGTTGATCCTTTCCAACAGTATTCCATTACATTTTGTTGCCATGCAACAGATGGCAGCAGAAGAGCAATCTGAAAAAATGGTGTCTGATGGAAGTATACACAAAGCAAAGGTGTATGAATTCCTTCATGCGGAAAAAAGGCACCCACTGACATTTATCGATCCTCACTGAGCAGTTATGGAGACAAAACAGGGCATGTGAGCACAATGAGGTTATGAGTGATGTGCTTCAGCAGTAGTGATGGCAACAGTGGTTTACCCCTGCTGGTGCAGATGTTTAGGAGCATTGCATGCAGGCTCTTGTTCATCACTGGTAAAAGATGTATAGCTAAGGGTTGAAAACTAGTACTGTGTAGCTGAGAATTTGCTCTATCAAATAGTGTTATTGTGCTCTTTGTATCTATTGTAGTTTCCATGGAGATAAAAAGCATTCCTTTCAGAGCAGCCTCTATATAATGGATTGTATAACTTCATTTCACTTGCTGAATTAAAAAAAAAAAAAAAAAAAAAAAAGTGAAAGATTATATTAAGTGAAATTATCATATTACTGAGTCTAAACTATCTGTGTAAATCGTAATTTCTGTGGACCATATCTGCACTTCATGGCATATAGTAACTCAGTAGGTTTGCTAGTCTTGACATGTTAAATGCAAGTGAGATGAAGCAAATACTACCTGACATGCAGCTTGCTGATCTCATGGGAACATGAATTCATTTGATCATGCTACAGAACCCAAAGGCTTGTCAGCACCAGAAGAACTGGTTCTCCCCTTTTATAGGGCTTGAAAACAAGTATCATGGACAGGATGCTGTAAACATGTGGTACATACTGAACATGACAGTTTGCAACCTCTCTTATGGCAGCTAATCTGTTTGAATGATATTAGGATGTATAGTTAGTAGCTTATAAATAATCTGGATGTTTAAATATGACTGAGGCAGATCTGAGACAAGTCACACCTCTGTTTAACTGGTGATAGATAATGAAAGGCAAGGGAATAGCACATTCTCACACAAAGAAACAAACTAGTGTGATAACTAAAGTAGCAAACGATGCCAAAAGATTTTGTAACTTCTAGTAACTTTTAAAGGTAAGTGACACAGGGCATATAAAAGGAATTAATGAGACAAATCCTACCTAATGTTAAACATATCTCCTAAACTACTTAATATTTAGATGAAGGCAAGGGTTGGATACGTTAACAATTAGATTATGAGCTTGACAGATATTCTGCGAAGTTCAGCAGCCTAACCTTTCAGAATTCTATTTCTTGAGGGTTTTAATTAGAGCAGAGGAAATTGAATAATGTTATCTGATGTTGAAAAGACCCAGTTTTGTCTAAGTATGTTATGATGATAATTTTGAGTGTCCTGAGCTGGATACATAAGGATCAGTATAAGCATTTGCCAAACGTTTTTTGTGATTTTATACATTTATGTGTATATTGCCATTGCCAAAATAGAAAAAAAAATTGCAAACACAGCTTGACCGAATTAACTATGGGTTTTAAAGACTCATAGGCCTGCACTGAAACTGATAGTTTAAACTCTACCAAAAAGAAATAGTAATGACAGAATTTCACTATTAAGACTTATCTTTTTCTCTAAGCAGTCTCTTACAGTCATGGTAGATTGAAAGCACAGTTAGTTATTGATAACAATATATTTCAGTCTTGCTAATCTCAAGAATTGATGTATGCAATTATATTTCAGATCTGTACATAAATTAACATATATTGCAATCAAGGGTATTTTTTCCAGGACACAGATATGCAACAACTACATTTAAAAACAAAATAATAATAAAAAAGAACAAAACAAAACAGCAATTTAAAAAAAAAAAAAAAAAAAAAAAAAAAACAAAAAAAACACACCTCTTTAATTCTAACTTTATACTGTATCTGTAGTTGTTTTTTTTTCCTGGAAAAATAGACTTTTGGATTACATTTTATTAAATAAATCCATCTACATATTAAAAAGAAAAATGAGAAAAAAAAGAAAAAGAAAAATACATTTTAAATGCTACTATTTTCTTGGAAAATCTTTTATAAAGCTGAATCTTTAAAAAAAAAAAAACAGTTCAATTAAAGTGAGGAATATTTTTAAAATGTCATCTTGAAACTGTTTTGTATCAGTATTTTCAGCACTGTTATTTGTAATACTAAGTGTAAATCTCACCCAGAGAAGGATATTAGCCACATGTTAATATACAGTATGACAGTAACTGTAAGACAGAGGTCCTTTGATCCTCTTGTGTACATACTAAATCATAAAGCAATGGCATGTGGACATTCTTTCAGTAAATTGATTCCTTTGTATTAAAAATCTCTAGTTTTTTAAGAGTTTCATGTATAGAATGATTTATACATTTCTCCAAGGCTGTACATATCCAAAGACATGACACCAGGGGAAAAGACATTATTTTTGCCACAGAAGTACCCTTTTTTTTTTTTTTTTTTTTTTTTTTTTTTTTTTTTTTAAATTAAAGTTCCTGTACATGAAGCATAACTGTAAAATTTCTACTGAAATTTTTCTTCTTGCTACTTTCATATTTTGTGGTGTTATAGAGGGCATTTTAAGAAGGAGGAAATCCCTAAAGAAAAGCTGCTTCTGTTTGAATCAGTATCCCATTTTTTGAAGCAGCCACTTGGCACAAGAAACATTATATGTGCCCTAAATACTTTTTAATGATACACATTGTATGGGAACTGCTGAATCACAGCCTGAACCTCTGATTGACCACCTGAGGCGAGCAATGAGTCAGCCATGGGAGCACAGGTGAAGGCAATTCACCTGTGCTACTGAAAGGAGTGGAGCTTTGCTCCACTTCTCCTAGACCCCATTTAAGAGCTGACTACGACAGGGGAAGGATCTCTTTTGGAGACCTTGGTTTTGATATCAAATTTTAGAGTTTTCTTAGCAAGTCCAGGGTAAGGGTAAGTTTTCCATCCGTTCTTCTTTAGCACGATAGCCTGTTTAGCCTAACTTTCTTGTGTATTTTTTAGTTATAACATCCGTGTATTCATTCATTATACACATGTGAAGTGGTGTATTGTCTTCATTATGATCCTTACTTCCCTAGAGTAATTACATTCTACAATATACATTTTATGCAATCACAGGATGGCTGGGACTGGAAGGGACCTTAAAGCCCACCAAGTTCCAACCTCCTTGCTACGGGCAGGGTTGTCATCCATGGGATCAGGCTGCCTAGAACCTTATCCAACCTGGTTGCTGAGTAGTACGCAATAATATACTAGGACCAATCTTAATTATAAATTATTAAGATGGAAGGAAAGCACCTATCCAGCACAGTTCTTTGGTTTTCAAAACACTCGAAGAGTTGTTTTTTGTTCTGTTGTTTTTGTTTGTTTGTTTTATTTCTGTATTACTTGTGTGTGTGTGGATTAAGTAGAAACGGGAATTCTATACTGGAAGGAAAAGTCTTTCCACAAAATCCCTCCATGTTTAGGGAATTTGGTAGCATCAGAAAGCATTCCTAGGATGAATTTTTGCTTCCATATACAAAACGAACCAGATAGTGAAGGTTCTTTTTTTTAAAACCCAGGCATTTTAGTTAATTGCTTTTACTTCCAGAATACACACAGATATGCCAAATGGGCTTTTCTTATATGTCTTTCTTTCTGATAGCTTTGATATTAAGTTTTTCCTGACTAAGATTTTTGCATATTTGGAGCATTTGAAAGCTTACCTTGGCTTTTCAGGTTTGTCACGCAAGTGCATTTTAGTCGCTACCTAAAAATTGGTGACATCGTCTTTCCCAAAACCTAGCGATTTCTGACTGCTCTTATGGCGTGACTGTTATGTCTTCACTGGTTTGATCAGCACACCATTGACTTCAATTAAGTCACACTGAGTGCGTCACCTGATAACTGCGATTGTGGCCCTTCATGCACAAACTGTCTCAAGTTATGTGGAAAAGGAGATCTCAAAAATTTGATCCAACAGAAACACCAACTCACAATCTGGGAAAAAATTAATCTTTTTTTCTTTCTTTGTAGTAGTATTCAGAAATAAAATAACAGAATACCATCAACAAAACAACCATAGCAGCAACAAAAACACCAAAAAACTTCTTATACAATTCCAAAGATCATAAATGAAATCCACTCATACAGTAGAGTAACGGTAACTTCTAGCAAAACTTTGAAATAAATCTGAAAATCCACTGCAGTCTTTTTACAAAATTATGGAGTGACTGGAAAAATGAGGATCTGTATCTGAGTGCATTAATGAAATATTTCACAGCCTCTTTTTTTTCAAAGTCTACTGATATTTATTTATTTATTTATTTACTTATTTTCTGAAGGAACGCTTGCAGTTTGATGCTTATGCCAGATAAAATATAGAATACAGTTTGAATGTATGCTGAGGAAAGTGATGGGGGCTTCTCTCATCTTGGAGGAATGTATAGTGTCCTCTCTAGGACTCATTTTAATCTTCTGCTGTCAGCAAGAACTTGGCAGAAGTTCACTGGGATTTAGCCAATCAAGTCAAAGATAAAAATGTCATGTGCTGCTTTAAATCCAGTAAACTCTAGTTGTTTGTATCATGCTTCCTTGCAAATTTTTTTGTCCAAGTTTTGAGAACATCTACACTGTGATGCTCATGATGCTAACTTTTTACAGTATAAGAGACACTGGAAATCTGTCCTCTGAGGGGCTCAAGATTTGCAGTTTATTTCCTAGGGCAACTGTGTGAACTTCAAGGATTTTCTGTTGTTGCAAAAGTAATGGCAAGGGAACTTATTTATTATCTATTTTAGAAATATTTGATGGTTGTGGGTTTTTTTTGTTTGTTTGTTTGTTTGTTTTTTGTTTTGTTTTTTTTTTGGTTGGAATATACTTAAAATATTATTGGGGAAAAAAAATTCTGTGACTTATTAGCATCAATTTCCTGTAAGTTCTTAGTAGCTGTGGTTGTCACTTGCATTTTGTAGCGCTGCTAAATATTTTTGGATGTGCCATTTTCTTTGCCTTCATTACCAGCAAATCTTACTCTTTTTATTGTTTTTGCCCTCAGTCCTGTGTTAAAGATACAGAGGACTGCCTAGGATTTCTACGCAAGTAATCCTGCCTATTAAAGTAGAGGAAGAATAAACTTACTTGAAGGTCTCTATGTGATCCCTGGAGATTGAAAATCTATTCAGTTTGTTTGATCTGAACTAGGCAACATTCGAGAGACCCTGATGGATATGACAAGTGTCACCATCTGTTGGTTTCCGAAATCTTTATAGACGTGACAGTGAATAAAATATACCACAAATAAAGGCTTTTGTTGTGTACGAATAATGTTGCCTTATATTTTGTATTTTGACCCTTGCTGTGCCTCTCTTTCTGAAATATTTTGTATAGATACATGCATAGGCTGACTATGCAGACAGGCTACGCAACATCACCATTTCTGCTTTAAGAAGGCTCCTCTGGATTCTCTTAATATCTGTTCAGTAAAATGTTTAAACTATCCAGAAAGAATCTCAAGCACCTATGTAGACAAATATATTACATGACTTGATCCCATTTTCATCACACTGGAAAAGCCCTAGTAGCGTAAGTATAACGTATATGGATAACAACAGTATTAGTGGAATTAAAATTTATTTTTATTTTTACATTATGTCAGTGCACTTTATATGAGGGCTTAATGGGAATTACGAACTAGCTTGCATTAATTTTCTTAACAAAACTTGACTTAAACAGGGTTCCGAATTTTCTGCTTAACTTTAAGCACGTAAGCAATCTCCTAAAGGTAAAAATGAAAAAAAAAAATCTGATTGTTTGGAAAGATAACAAACAAATAATATATTTTCTAACATAAACAATTTCATTCTTATTTATTGTTTGAAAGGTATGATACATAAAAAGTGTATTTCGTTTTGTATAAATACTCTTCAAGGCTCACAGATAAGTAGAAAAGATAAGAAACAGCCTTCCTGCTTCAGTCCAGCTATAACATTGTGCTTTGTTTTCCAAATCATTAATTTTTTTTTCAGTAATCTGTCTGTTTCTTTCTCTTGGCTAAGAGTTTGAAAAGAGATAATAAAAGGACTTTGTATATATTCCGCACGTTGCATGTAGAGATAATCAATGTTACATGAAGAATATAAGAAATCAGAATTCTTAGTGATGCGTCTGATGTTTAAGCAAGATGCTCAACAGTATATAAAATCCATGTAAGTGGATGTTTTGTAACTGGGAAAAAATCTAGTGAAAGGTATAAGGTAGCAGGTTGATAGCTGTTTTTCCTTATATATCTGTTTTCTTTGAGTTATGTTAAAGTAATATTTGTAAAATAAACCTCTTGGAGTACAGAAAAATGATTGCTCAACACCACCAAGTATGGATAAGGGTAATTCCATGCACAAGAAAATTTACGTATTTTTATTACCATAGTATTATGTTTGCTTGAAGTATAAGCAGAACAGCACCAACACATTTTAATAAAGAAAAGAATCAGAAGGAAAGAGTGTATTTATCTAAAACACCTTGCGCATCATGTAGTCCTTTCTAACTTTCCAAAATAGGTTTATATTACAGTACTTCATGAGGACATAGTAGTGCTATTATGCTAGGTATCTATGCTCTCTAAATAACAAGGTAACATTGAAGGTGGCCATGATGCAGATCGTGTATCGAGATCTACATCTACTTTAAAGGTCATTTGTTTTTTTGCTGGTTTCTTTGTTTCTTTTTCACTTTCCAATGGATCGCCATAATTATTTTGAGAAAATTTTACACAGCTATCTCCATAAACAGTGTGGCCTATGTGAAATTCAAACTGATATGGT